TTTTTTTATCATGCAACAGTTTCAATTTACTCAGGGAAAGATTATCAAGGCGGCGGGAAATCGTGTTAAATTGGATTTCATTACCTAATATAATATCCTTGGGAGGCTCCTCATTCGGTCATCGTCACCGCAACAGCTCGGTGTCACGTGGTCCAGCCAGAAATCTCGCCTACGACGTCATACAAACTCACCACGATTCGTAGGATGACGTTTCAATGTATTGTTATTATAACAGCGCCACTCAAGTAGGCAGGATTTTTTTTCCGGACGGGGGGGGGGGGTTCGATCGTACATTAAAGTTACACTGAAGAGCGGACCGATTTTCCTCCAATTAGTAAATTGCTCTTTAACGATACCAACAATACAGCGCGCTTGCCGTCAGCCAGGACACACACACACACACACACACACACACACACACACACACACACACACACACACACACACACACACACACATATATATATATATACACATATATATATATATATATATATATATATATATATATATATATATATATATATATATATATATATATATATATATATATATATATATATATATATATATAAGGGAAAGTGTATACATGAGGACTCGTTTTTCCGTGTTTTGACACAATGCTGATGAGATCTAACAAACAATGCCAAGGCAAGTATAAGAGAAGTTATTAGACCGAATTGTAATGTAAATGTGAAGAAAGAAAAATGGGTGAAAAGATAACTTGCCGTGGGCAAGAACCGAACCTCCGACCTTCGAATAACGAGGGTCTATTGGTCAGCTGTTAGCTCGTAATAAGTTCACGTGCTTCGTGACGCCACACTGGCTCATAAAGAGTGTGTCACAATCGCCGCCATGGATACTGAAGGCGCTGACTGACACTCCCACGTTTAAAGTCACATATGTGCCCATTAAGGTGGCTGGGAGAATAGCCCCCGTGGTAGCTCAGTGGTAGAGCATCGATTGCGTTATTCGAAGGTCGCAGGCGCGGTTCCTGCCCACGGCAAGTTATCTTTTTGTCCTCTTTACTTTCTTCACATTTACCTTACGTTACTTTTCGTCAGTTTCGCTTCGCAAAGGAGCGCGGGATAGCTAGCGCCATCATGAGGGCATGGAAAGCGAGCCGTCAAATGCGTGAGTGCTGTGATGTTTGTGTTGGCGGCTAGTCCTCAGATCATCCGCTGCAATCGCACCGCTTTCTAGCTTGAACGAGCTCCCAGTACTCTCCATAAGCTTTCCGCGCTGCTTCCGCTACACAATGAGCAATATTTTGTACCCTTCAAAGGGTTGGACGAGCAATTTGGCTTGTTATGACTGGCAATGCATGAATCCAGCCTGCAAGAGACTCTCATTGGAGTGCTCTCCCGACGTGGTCCGCGTCCTGCAGGAACGCAACAGGTGTCTGTGTGCGCTGCAAGAAACGCGCATCAGCGTCGCTGAGACACAGCCTGTAATTCTAGTACACTGTACAGCCTGCATCGTCTGCGGTGGTGCCTCACAATGGTGGCAGATTGTAGTTCGCGTCCGCGGCACTAGGGGCGCCCTTTTCTGAAAAGGGTGCCCCTTAATTAAGCCACGTGGAATAGGTAGGCTTGCTTTAGGAGCTCACGGGAATACACCAAATCAGGGAGTACAAGGTGATATGGGATGGACATCATTTGAGGGCAGGGAAGCTAGCAGCAAGATAAAATTTGAGAAGCGATTGAGAGAAATGGGGGAGGAGCGTTGGGCTAGGAAGGTTTTCAGCCACTTGTACATAAAGAATGTCAATACAAAATGGAGGAAGCGAACCAGGAAATTGACTGGTAAATACTTAGAAAACAGCAGGTGGCCAAACCAAAAAGAAATATCGCTTAAGAAGAAAGTGAAGCAAACGGAGACTGATATGTGGAGAATTGGCATGATTAAGAAGTCTGCACTAGAGATCTATCGAACTTTTAAGCAGGAAATTGCCAAGGAAAGGATCTATGATAATGCTCGGGGTAGTTCTCTACTGTTTGAGGCCAGGATAGGAGTGTTGCGAACCAAGACATATCGGGCCAAATCCGAAAGGGTAGACACAGTATGCAGTGCGTGTGGAGAGGAAGAAGAAACTGCCGAACACTTGATAATGTTCTGTAAAGGGCTTGAACCGTAATAGTTCAGGATGATGGCGCAGAATTTTTCAGAGCACTGGGGTTTAGGGACAGGGAGGGCAAAATAGACTTTGAGCGGGTAGAAATAACTAGAAGTAAGTTATCTGATTGGTGGCTAAAGTCAAGACACGAGTGAAAATTAAACCCTTCACTGTAAAGTACGAATCCTTAACCTCACTATTTAAAGGGGGAAAAAAAAAAGAGAAATCTAGTGGTTAGTTCACTAAGTATAACGGCTAGGTGGCGTTAGCCGCCGCCCGATCTAAAGGGTACAGCCACATCCATCCATCCATCCGTCAAATGACGAGGGGCCGGCAACCTGCGTCCCTCCAAGTCACTTCCTATCTGAAGGCCGACGTGGCAGTTCTGACCTGAAAAACGATTTTCGCCTGCTACATTGTGACGCGCGTGCAGGTGACTGATCTAATTATTTTCGATTCGCATTTTTCTTTCTATTTGCCTGCAAAGTCCCCCACCATGCAAACTACTCCTCGAAAGGTTGTCGACCCCCAAGTTAGACCATAGAAATAACTTTCAAGGGAATCACTAAGTTCACTGCGCATAGCTTATGTAGAAAATATAGTTTTTGCCAGATACAGCGTTATGTAAAAACATTCCTTGAAGCTGCAGACCGACCTTGACTGGCAGAGCCTACATAACACAAGTCCAGCTTCCGACATTAAAACCTGGCGGAAGATGAACACACCAGCTTTTTTTTTCTAGTGTTGTGCCTGCATTTCTGTTTATTTTACTCGGTAACACTAATTGTGCGTCGTAGTTTCCTGCGGAAATGTGGGTCTAAAGCACGAGCTGCAGCGTGCTGGCCATCAACACTCCGTGTATGCGCAGACTTTGTTGCATTGGGGTGTCTCGATGCGCACCAGCCTACTGGAGAGGACACGCGCATTGGTCGGAACGCTTAAAAAGTGCCATCAACTGAGTAAAGTCGAATATAAGCGTGACGTACTCACCTGTGCTCCCCCTAGCGTCGCCTAAAAGGAGTCTTCTGGCATTTTGGAAATCACCATCGCTCAGACACTGCGGTGCAGCACTTAATTGTAGTTGATTTGCGGCAGTCTCTACCAGCGATGCATCAGCGTGTTCGTGCACGTCATATGCGAATACACCTAAAGAACCAATTGGTAAGCGCCACTCGTAGTCACGGCAGAAAATCAGTTTAACCTCATAAACGATTGCGCGACACCCACTCCCCGTTATCCGAGACCTAGGTGAAAATGTGTAACTGGGAATCAAAATGGTTTCAACTGGCATTAACTGGGATCGACTGCTCCCAGTTGCAGGCCAACTAGTTTTAGCTGGAATCAGCTGGGAACGAATGCCAGCAGAACTTTATCTTTTCATCGGAGACGAAAGTCCAGACCACTTTCATGCACGAAATATGCGAAAATGTCAGCTGATTTTGAACGATCTACGCCGGGGGACACCTTATTCGGCTGCCATCGTAGTAGCTCGAAAGAAGACAGCCCCGCCGTGGTGGTCTAGTGGCTAAGGTACTCGGCTGCTGACCCACAGGTCACGGGATCGAATCCCGGCTGCGGCGGCTGCATTTCCGATGGAGGTGGAAACGTTGTAGGCCCGTGTGCCCATATTTGGGTGCATGTTAAAGAACCCCAGGTGGACGAAATTTCCGGAGCCCTCCGCTACGGCGTCTATGGTGGTTTTGGGACGTTAAACCCCACATATCAATCGATTGATTTGATTGATATGTGGGGTTTAACGTCCCAAAACCACTATATGATTATGAGAGACGCCGTAGTGGAGGGCTCCGGAAATTTAGACCACCTGGGGTTCTTTAACGTGCACCCAAATCTGAGTACACGGGCCTACAACATTTCCGCCTCCATCGGAAATGCAGCCGCCGCAGCCGGGATTTGAACCCGCGCCCTGCGGGTCAGCAGCCGAGTACCTTAGCCACTAGACCACCGCGGCGGGGCCCACATATCAATCGAAAGCAGACAGCTGAGATCAAACGAGTTGCATGCGTTCGAGCCAGCAGCATAACGCTGGCTTGACTACGCGGTCGAGCGTGTGGTTTCACCAATACGTCTGTAGCATTGTACGCATGGGCAAAGAGGTTGATCGCTGGAGGCTGCGCATCATCGATTAAGTTGGCCGCTCGTGTCGTCTCATGTTCTTCCCTGGCGTCTGCTTGATTATTTTTTTATTGTAACTTTCACATCCATGTAACAAAAAACTTCACAAACACTTGTTTGGTCCCATAGCTTAATTACCAACGCTCGTGAACCTATCGGACGTGTCTAAACCGTATGGCTTCGGGAGGCCTGCCCTGGAGAAGTACACTCACAGAAAAGGAAGGCTTTGTTTGTTCTTCTCTAGCAAACTTGCCCAGCGACGCTTTCGTCGAGGATGTCTATGCTCTGCCACACATTGTGCGGCACTAATATGAAGTTATCGTGCTCACGTGACCGCGAGATTTTCATGCGCAAAAGGGGTATGTACTGACGTCATCCGCGGGGCCGCCATCTTAAATGTCCGTGCATTCGCAAAAAAAAAAAAAACGCTGTACGCACTTTGCGCGACATCCGTATGGCGACATGGATGACTATAGATGCACGAACAGCACGAACAGCGGCGTGTTCAAACAGATCTCCAAAATGGCGCGGCGATAGTGTGGCCCCCTTGCGGATCACGGCTCAGTGCATACCCTTTCGCGCGCAATACGAGCGATGTGGACCACGTCTGCAATTCAGGCCAGCGCCGAGAGGATGCCTACGGATCTTGTTCGTGGCTGAGCTTCGTTCATGAACGTTCCGCACAAGTCATTTATTGTGTATCTGCGTCTGCAGCGCGTGCGCGAGAGAAATGTGACACCACACACAATGGTTTAATAACTTAAACATCTTGTATTTTTTGCTCTCAAAATCTATCTCTTGACACACATGAGCACACACACATAAGTAAGACAAACCTCTTTGTAATACAAAGTCTCGATTTTTTTTGTTGGTCTCATTTTTTTTTAATTATTCGTACTGTTGTAAGACAAACAGCAAATGTGCACACATAACAGGAAAAAGAAGGAGGGGCGGTAGCTATCAATATAGAATTTCTGTTCTCGTATCGCTATTGTACAAAAAATATATATATCTATGTGTATATATGCAGTCTATATTACTCATACTGCAAATGCTGTTAAGGCCACTTGGAAAACAGGCGTATGGAACAGACGTGTGTGCACACAGGAATGCTCGGCACAATTGGTCCTCGAGTGCTAATACTACTCGTCGGTGCGCCACACAGAGATATAAAATGGCGGTCAGCTCTGCTACACACCTCCCGTCTGGTCCACAAATAAAAATAAGAAAACAAACCTCGAGAAAGGCACTTGAGGCAAAGACGAAGCGGTCTTGTCGCTATGACGGGGCGGTGACAAGCATCACACTATTTCAAAGACGTCACATTACTCTTACTTTTCCAGCGAACGTACTGCACTCCACAGCAATTGTCTGCCATTCGATGTGGCAGCAGCATCTATCACAACGTCTCGTTACTGGACTCTACGAAAACATGAGATCCCCCACCCCCTGTTGTAGTTTGGAATGGCACTGCAAGCCGAGCATGTGGCTCCCTGGCTGCTTCAACGACACCACGCAAGGATTTGTATTATGTCTACCTTAAACGGTTACATTTTGGACATTTCCCTGCGTCATAGAAGTCACTCTAGTGAAATGACGGCAACAGGGTCTCCCAAGGAACCACAGTCTGTATGCTTTATCTAGTTTCAGAGTAGACACATCTACATTATCCACAATCTCAAATAGAAGTTGCAATTCTTCGTTTGGAAAGTTAATCTTCCTCTCTGATAACAGAAGGATCATTGACACAGCTGTCGTGTTCGTTTTGAACACACAGCTCACCTAAAAAACTTTAGTCATTGCTTAGTGATCGTGTGGGTGTCTACTCCTAGGCGGCATCAAAGACTCGTTTTCTTTGAAGAAACTTTCAGATGGCAGACAGTGGGTTTTTTCGGTGATTCTGTTGTCATTGCCTCATTTCATGCTCTGCTTTAAACTAACAAGCCCTATTCAAGCTGTTATGAATCCTGGTTAAAGGAGGTTGCAGGAATCCCTGGTTAGAAGGCACCGCGGAAAATAATCACAAGGATCGCTGGTTTGAAGCAACAGGAATATGACTGGCACGTCCTCGATTGCGTGCAACTAGGTTCAACGAGACATTGTATAAATAAGTTATTATTCTCACCCATCATTCTTGCAATTTCTTAAATAGTAGTCAGCTCAGACAACAACATCTGACCTGAGGGGCTAAGACATAACTGCTCTGACATGCTTTCAACAAAAATGCTTAAGGCAGTAGAAAAACCGCGGTGATCCAGTGACTCTTTCGTCACCGTGGCTGCTATAAGGCTGGCAACAAAAGCACGCCAGCCGTTTTTACCACAGCTGAGATCTTGTAGTGTGTGTACTTCATCGGTTTGTGTCACTACTTTGAACAATGTAATCCCTTTGACAGCCTACGATGCGAGTCTTAAATAACGAGATGATCTCAAAAGGGACAAGAAATGTATGAATGACAACATGCATTAGTAGAAGACTGCATTTAGCTTGCCAACCCCCACATTGATGCCAATAAAGTTGATTGCAAATCAGTCATCAGCAATTGTGAAGAACACATAGCTGAACAGTAAAGCTGATAGCTGAAGCCTTTAAATATCAGAATCCTTCTATGCACAAATAAAGAAAACCAGCATAATTTAGAAAAAAAGCATAGAATCTGCAGCCTTCAACACATTGCTTCTGTGTTAATAAAAGTTTACAAGTGGTGCCTGTCAGCACAACAAAGTGAACAAACTGATTCCTCTCTTGGGAGGGCCAGAAACCTAGGCTGGAAATGAAAGCAGCCAAAAAAGGCCTCAATGTCAATAAATAAATTAAATTCTCATTAAATACAGAAGTACAGCAAGAAATGTAAACAAGAGCATAACAGCAGCTTCAATGAGGAGTCAAACATGCAAGCACCAACTAAACTTTATGTAAAAAAAAAAAAAGAACTTGGTCTATGGCATTTGCGGCGAGAGAAACGAGCCGAGTCAGCAGCCCGCCCTCGACAGATCGCAAGAAAGGTACTCAAGGCTTATCAGTTCCCAGAAAACAAGTAATAAATAAGAAGGAGCTCACAGAGCTAAATATCCCTTGCCTGGTACCAGAACCGGTCAATTTTCTCCTCAAAGCCTATTTACAAAGTCTGGGACTTATTCATAACCTGACATCCAATGCAAGCAGCTTACTTGAGTGAAGCCAAGGGAGACAACATAACATCTTAAAAGAACTGCAAGTTTCAGTGCAAAAAAAAAAAAAAAAGGCTAAGAAGAACCAGACATCCTCGTGGACTGCAAACACATTTTGCTCTTAACAACTTGACAGAACGATGAAATAGTACAATGAATAATAATATAATTATTATAATATTATAATTAAATCAAATAAATACGACAGATACAGGAAGGCATGGAAAAAGCAAAGAGAACATCACAAGCACACTGAATAGTTTGTAAAACCTGAAAAAAAGTAGCGCACAAATAAGAGCCTGTCTTTACCCATACACGAGAAGGCACAATGGTGACGCTCAGCCAAAACATAAAAGCTAAAGAGCTTCCTTTTCATAATAAACGTTAAAACCAGGCTGTATACACAGCTCATATAATGTAACAAAAATATTCTGGCACTGCCTTGACAGTGCTTGAGAAAGCATGATTTCTGCACAAAGAGGCTGGGTATTATGGCAAACGTGTATTGGACTATGGAGAAGCGCCATTTGTTGCTGCTCCTTCTCTCTCTCTCTTTTCAGAAGGCTTGGTCCTCAGGACTTGAGCGGTGTGCCATTAAATATTTGTAACAATAAAAGTATTCGCACACGCCACAGAAAATGGCAGCCCCAGGTCCACGCTGCCAGACCGAAATGCCCAAACGTGAAGAAAGCCAGTGTTCCACCAGCACATTTGTTTCGTCTTGCTTTTGAGTAAAAAACACAGCGTGCGTGTTCTTGCCTACAAACTGAGTCAATGACTAAAATGCTTTCGCTTCGTCAGGCCTGCTGGGGAACACAATCTGAGCCGAACTGCACATGAATGAGCACAAGTAATAAATAAGTGACGTCCTCGATGTGATTATGATAATGCTTTTTTCTGGGAAATACTCGCGGCTCTCAATTAAAAAAAGGTAGACAAATGTGTGGAATCACATCGGGTTAGTTGGCAGATGCAGTTCAGGCTCGATTTGACTGCGCACGCGTCAATGGTGGGCAGGCAGGGACCTGGGGGTGGGCGGGGCTTAGTCGCGGCCGGCCAGCCTGTTGAAGATGGGCAGCCTGGTGAGCGGCGAGCTGCACGCCGCCGAGACGCTCATCGAGTCGGAGCCGAGCGAGTCGACGGGCGACGGCGGTCCCTCGCGGTTCTGAGCAGCAGCAGCCGGAAACTGGAAGGCGCTCTCGGGCAGCGACAGCGCCGAGAACACCTGCGAGGAGGAGCCGAATCCAGGGGAAGTGACGAGCGTGGCCAAGTCCTGCGAGAACGAGAAGGCCGTCGAGGGGGCGGCGGCGTAGAAGGCGTCGTCGTACAGGGGGCTCGAGGGCGGCGACAGGTCGCCCGCCGAGCCGAGGCTGCCGAAGCTGCCCACGGAGAGCGCCTTGGGCCGCGGCGGGTTGATGTTGGTGAGCAGGCTCTTGCGCGACTCGTCCGAGTTGTGTATGAAGTGGCAGCGCGGCCCGTACGGGCAGAAGCCCGCCGTGTGGAAGGTGCGGCACAGCTCGGTCTTGTACTTCGGGTGCCTGGCCAACGTGCGCAGCTCGTGACCGCCGTGCGCGAACTGGCACTTGTCGCCGTACTTGCAGGTGCCGCTCTCCTCGAAAGGCCGGCACAGCTCGGTCTTGTAACGGCTAGAGTTCTGCGCCACCGACGACGGCGGGCTCGTCGGAGTCGTCGGAGACGTCGGCGGGCCGCCGGCCAGCGACGGCCTGCTGCGGTCCACGGGCTCGCTGTAGCTGCGGTCCAGCTTACGATGGGTCGTGGCCACGCCCACCAGCGCACCCACCGCGTTCACCATGTTGCTGGTGGGGACCATGCGGCTGGCAGGCGGCTTGGGCGACGTCGTCCTGAGCACGAGTGGAGGCGCGGCCACCGAGGACGTGGAGCGTCGCAGCGCTGGCGCCACCATTCCGCCGCCCGATGTCGAGTGTCGCCGGGTCTCCAGCATCGCCTGAGGGCGCGGCGCTGCGAAGTTGCCACTGTTCTGCAAGGAGGAGAGCACACGGTCAGCACTCTGCTACGCGTTCGAGCATTTGGCTCGATTGAACCGGGCTGAGAATTGTTATCCGAGCGTTCACAAAGTCATCGATGCCGCCGCTTCTCCCTCATTAGCACCTTCCAAATGACCAACACAATAACAGACCAAAGCAACGGACACCACCTCATTCCCACCTGTTGAGCGTACCACAACACGCGCCTCAAGGTAACACACACGCTAATACACGAAGCCCGTCAAATGTTGAGTCGAGCACTCGAATACTCTCGAAATCGCCTCCGAGAGTGGCAGTTCTACTTACTTCCTTCGAGTCTGCACGGCGTCTTCTTTCGTCAGCGTATCGAACGGTACGCGCACACAACGACCACCGAAAGTCGGCACCAAAATTTATTCGCTCGTATTTTCCTTAGGCTTGACGTCATGTTCTTACCCTACGTGGTTATTCCACTACGACGAAAATCGTGGAAAGTGGTACCTTTCTAAGCTTGTTTGTTTTGCACAGCTGACACACTGCGCTTATGTGCTTCCGATATTCGTATACCCTACGCATGTATGACGACGATCGTGAGAGAACAGTTTTCTCGTCAGGTAGGCACAGAAATGCTTGCGCGTTCGATATCCTCCGATACCGAGGCAGGCACGCGTTAAAATGACGTTTTTCCTCGTGCTTTCACCCCTAGCCAGTTTTGGGGTGCAAGAGATTCCGTCCTGACCCAGTTCGTGACGAGCTAAAACTGGGCGGCGAGAAGATCACGACCGCGTCGCGAAACTCATTGTGTACACACGCCAACCGATTTTTGAGGCCTTGTTACGGCGAAACCGCAGCAGCACGTTTCTGGCCACGTTCATCGGCGAGAGCGTTTCGTCACACGACGGTTCTACGCACACGGTATCGGAGGGCGTCGCCACACAGACTCTCGAGCCACGCCTAGTCTTTAGCTTTCAATTTTAGTTTAACAAATCTAGCCATACGTTTCGACACCCGATCGGTCTCTTATTTAGGGGGTTACTGCCGGGCCGGATTGCTTTTTTAGTAGTGGTGCGTCACTAACATTAAACTCTGATGACGAACGGTGGCTGTCTCTTGATTTTACCGTCAACCAAAAGACGCATTCAGACGCACACAGTTCTCAGGTGAGCACGGTTAAGGGTAACCTGTGCAAAAGTGCCGGAACAAAGCACAGGTACAGAGATTCCCCACTTGTTCCGTCTCATCAGGCCAGAAATAAATCTTACTGCCGACAGGTATATGCCACAAAACAAGAAAAAGCAATGTCACGGCGTCACACTGCCCCGCATTAGCACAGAATTCACTTTTTATAGCGAAGATATATGTGCAGGCTGTCTGTCAACATTTTCTTCTCCGGCTGTTCGTCCGGTCGTACAGTCCCTTCTTGACACACGAACAGTCGGACGACGAGTGATATTAAATCACCATTCAAAACATACACAAAAGAACGCCTTGCAGACCACACGAAATGGCTCGCTAAGTAAAGGCAGCTGAGAGTGGCGTCAATGAATGTCACGAAGTACAATTGAGTGACAGCGTTTGCCACGCATGTACAACCGTTTATGTTTATTGAACGCATCGAATCCTCGTCGTTTGTGAAAATGATGAAATTTACGACAGCACTAAATGTACGAGAATCGTTTTAACAAAGCGGTCATGAAGCGCGGAGGTGCGTAATGTAGGTGCACACAGACAAGGGCGTTTCGAGTAACTTCGATGGCCACTTTTTCCTTCGGAATAAATTCAAGCGGGCACCTTATGCGAGAGAAAAACGAGTTTTCTCCAACCAGTAAATCGCCAGAAAGCCCCATCTCATTGCAAAACAAGCACAAAACGAGCAAAAAGCAAGAAGAACAAGGCGGCAAAGTCGGCTTGAAGTTTTCGCGTCAGCACACAGTGACGTCATGAATTTTGATGACATTAACTACAGATCCCTAAAAACGGCGCTTTGTTATATAAGGGATACAATGCATACTACATACATGGCGAGCTTCAGAATACACCAAAGGGCTTTCACGTCACACTTACATTGCCGTGAAGTTTCGTTACGAAATTCAGAGATGAAACAGCCCTTCATTCGCTGTTTTGAATTACGATGTCGGAATTTGCAACAATATTAAATGAGAAAGAACAGTTTTATCGTCATTTTCATGTAGATGAAAAATTCGTGAGCGTCGTTGGAGCCAACATTTCGACCTTCAAGAAACGTCCGCCTGCCCGTCAGTACAGCGACAACACATGTTGCCAATTTTGCAGCTCGTCAAGCTTACATTCTGCATTTGTGTGCGTGGCCTGCTCGCTATACATCAACACGAGCTTACCATACCTCAAACATTACATCCACGCAGTAATACTGTCTAAAAGCTTTTTTCCCCACACAATTGAAGGCTTGCCAAAACTCGTTTGTTTACAGTTTCTGAATGCCATTGATGGTTTATAGTTCCTTTACGCGTTCATATCTTGCTTTCACTAATTTGTCCCAAACCCTTTGATTGGCGCATATTTCAGGTTTTATTTTTTTTTTTTTTCATGTACGCCCACTCCTGCCATAGCACTAACAGGCTGTATGTATGAATAAACAAGTAAATAAATTTTCGCTTTAATATGGTAATCATCTTGCGACAAAGTAAGAATTAATGTCATTGCTGAAACACGATTATCGGTTGGAGCGTCTTCGAATAAGAAATGCGCACAGGAAAACCGGCTCACGAAAAGAAAAACGGATCGAAAACGTGCCATCAGCAAGTATGCGGGCGGAGGAGACGCGGGGAAAACCAGTTCGCCGCCGCCGCTCTCCGTGAAGAAGCCGTGTCTCGATGGCCGGGTTTCAGGCGGTTCACTTTTTCCTCCACGACGCACTTCTCGGCGCGAAAAACAGGTTTCGTACTATTCCTGTAGTACGAGCCGCCCTACAAAATGGCCGCCCATGTGTCACAAACAGTGAAGCGAGACAATTCTCTCACTACACTCACACAGTTACATCCACGCGCAAACATATTAAAAAATGTTCAGCGGCCTTCCCGCACACTACTGGAAAATGGTATCATCGTCTGGTACAACTATATCCTTGTTTTTCGGAAGACTTCCAAGTTGCACTCGTTTGATGTCAAGAGCACCGACATAAAGCGAGTCGTCATTTCGTGCTTCGTCAGTGAGCTCGCTTGGAAGCATTCAGCGGTTTTCAGTGTACGGACGAAACAGCGCATTCGCGCTTACATCAACGATCAATTATAGTGCGCTGTCATGACGTGTCGGACATTTCGGGTTGGTGTCACGAACACTTATGCGCTTGCAAACGGCGCCTAGCCACTGTGACTTGTGAGCGGTAATTTCAGAGTTCCGTCTTCTACGCACTAAGTTGGAAAAATAACGCCGTGCGGTAGCGTACTTTTACAGTTCAGGCGTAGCTTTTAAATGCGAAGCATTTCCTTGCGTACTGCGGGTACTTTGAGCATCTGTGTCTGTCTGTCCGTCTACGTCCGGGTGACCGAAATTTGTATGGGAGGGTAAGAGGGTTTCACGAATATGACTCACTGGTCATGAATGAATAAAGCCACAATCCCGTCGCGCACTTCAGCCAGGCGTGCAGCGCATACCCGCTTTCGCACTCCAATTGAAAATTTGCGTGCGAGAGCGTTAGGCAAAAACTGACTTCAAGTGTTGAGACGACGAATACAAATAATAAATGTCAAGGTCCCAGGAGGAATCAACACCAGCATTCTGCGTGGCAATCAAGTATTCAGAGCCAGGCCAGGCCTCCTAATAACTACTTTTGAAATAGACCCTAGCGTTCGTGAAACATAAATTGTGGTTGCACCACTCGAGATGAGAAGACAGAAGCAGAGACTGGAATTTCGTAAACTAATTTACACGAACGATTGACCATTTGCGGGAAACCTACTGTGCAGGTAGCGCCCTCTACAGGTGTGAAAACATCTGCCCGGCTGGTCATACTGCCGTGGTTGAGCAGCCTTGCTTTCGTAATTAAGGCAAATATTCCAGCCCTCTGTGCAAATTATTTTACCGAGATAGAAGCGTCAAGAGCTGGGCCTGATAGTTCATGTTTAGGTGCGAGAAAAACCTACGAAAACTACGTTGTGTTATTGGTTGTGCCTTCATCGTGGTTCTTTTGAGTTCTCGCTCGTTTTTCTCGCAGGCAAACCGAGCGCTAACTATGACAGGGTCTCGTCCGCGTGCTGAAAGGAGAGATTCTCGGATAAAGGCAGGCGAAATGTTTGCGAAACCTTTATCGAAACAGAGGAGCGGCTCGCCGTGGGTGCTGAAGCAGCGATGGCCGAACTAACACTATCGGATCTCTCCAGTGCACCACGACAGCACACGGATCAGCGTTTCCAAGAAACAGAATACTGCCGTTGATACGCGAGGATGCGCTCCCACGGAACCAAGATTGAAGCACGGGTAATCACAGTAGCTGCATCCGCTTTATGCGAAGAAACTCCTGCTATACTCGCGAGCGCATTGACGCATATTCATTTGCATTGTCACTTTGGGGAATTTAACTATAGCCGCCTACATTAGAGTGTACTAGAAACGATCTACCTATATATGGGAAAACGTCTCCCGGTAACACAGTCGCAGCTAGTTCATCGTCAGGAGGGTCAAGTGTTCTTGCTTGAAGGCGCGATAAACAGTCGAGGTAGCGGAGCGGAACAGTAGCTAAAACGCCTCGTTCCGCGCCGTTTGTACAAACTTGCCTGTTCTTTCAAAGCAAGAAAACGTGCACCACTAAACACTGCGTGTTAGCTGGCGATCACAGTTCCAACTAAGGTTTATACGACAGGGGGCGCTCACCCCTCCGCAAATGGTCTATTCACCATTAGAGTCATCTTCATAGACTTTATGCAAAATTGCTGCCACCTGTCATGTGCGTGTCATTTCGTTGCATGTGCTCAGCGCGGCGCAGTCCGCATGTGTTTACGTAAGGCGTATCGACGTCAGGTGCGTATTGGCTGGCACT